ATATCTCCCGTTAACGGATGAACTATTTTTCATCCATCTCAACCCAGCCAGGCAGGGGTTCACCGTGAAGGGCGGTACTGATGTCTAAGGACTTTCATATCGCCACCACCATTCAGTCATGACCCATTTGTTCTTCTGACAAACGCCAGTCGTAAGGGAAAGGGAGCCAGGCTCCAACCTGTTTGAGATCAAGATGTCTACTAGCAATGTAATCGTAGTTAGCGTAGCATCACCAACGGAACCTATCATTAGTCGAAACAGCCCTTCTGGAGCCCCGTTTATCTTGAAGATTGAGTTCTCCGTCGATCTCATAGATGGCGAATTCGTAAGGGAAGATGTCATCGCCCTTGTTCACTCAGGCTTGTTCTTCAAGGACAGCTGAGTTCAACATTGCATTTGTAGTTCAGCCTAGCACCACTGATGAGACATATTGCGGATCGAAATATACTGTCTGGTGACTATATGTGATAGTCAGGTATAGAAAAATTGCTGAGTTATTCACCTCCATCTCGGTGGTGAATTTAATCGACGGGTGAATAAAACTGATAAATTCGATGAACAATACTGTCCCAGAAATACAGACTAAGACTGTCATCTACATGTATGTTCCAGTGAAATTATTAATTAACTGATTATTATGGATTTTATTCTCCAACTTTGGAGCTATCAAAAGATTCAAAGGGTTTCTCATCATTAATACATTATCTGAATGAATAAAATATGTTATTGTATAGAAATAATTTTGAAACAGATAAATTATAAGCACATCCAGAATTTCTTATTTCAGCCTAGAATCAACATGGGTTTCAACCAATATCTAATGATATTTATTTAGCGTTATCAGAAAGACTTATGTTTTCAATATTAAAAGTGATCAAAGAAAAATCATAGAACAGCTAGAATTTCCATGCATTTTCCTGCAATTGATCGATTTCAATATTCCAACACTTTATTGAAATTCGGACCTATTACTCACATCACAATATGATAATCTAATCATAACAGGTAATAACAAGACCTTTCGCAATGGTGTTTCTATTGTTAAACACTAGATATCTTCCAATAAATTATATGTTAATGAAGTCTAACTTCTCAGCAAAGCTGCAGATCAAATGTTGCGTGTGTTTATAATAATGCATGTTCCAGTTGGTATGTGATGTAATGTTGCCTGATATACAATAACACATTACCCATTTGTTGATATGACCTCAGATAACGTAATTAAAACATATTTCTTGACATTTTATATGAAATTATAAAAACAATCACTGTTGTTAACATTAAGATATCTGACATGTTCTGTTACTAAACTGAAATTTTGCAGCGAATTGTGAAATTCAAATGAATTTTGCAAAAGAAAAAGAGGTCATGGTTTGGAAAAGTTGCAATATCTGGAAGTGGAAATATCGTAATGAATAATTTTGGGAGATATCATTGTTCACATCTTCCTGTATAGTTGAGAAATACGAGTATATTCATTTTCTAATTGGATGATACCGTAAATGTTATTTATTTTCAATTAAGAAACATATTAATTTCCAAACTAGCTGATAGTTAAACTGAATGATATCTGTCAATCGCGAGCTAGTTGTGCCAAATAAGACACTTCATTTAAAATTGATATATGGGCCTATAATTCTGGAACAATTTTGTGAAACTTCTGCTGCCTCATCGCAAAAAGTTAAATGGAAATATTCTTAGCGAAAGCTCAAAAGGGGTGGAAGCACTGTGTGTTAGAAATGGAATTAAGTACTCAAAAACACTTGAAATGTTGACAGTGGCATACGGTAACTGTACTTTGAGTCATGAAGAGTCGAGAAGATGTGAATGACGACGCTCGCTTTGGATGCCCCAGCATACCAACAACCGAAGAAGATGTTGAGAAAGTGAAGAAATTTGTTATAAGAATTGTATAATGACTATTAGAGAAGCTGCTGAGGATGTCGGCATATCGATTGGCTCATGCTATGTAATTTTTTCTAAAGTTTCAGGCATGAACCGTGTGGCATGAAGCGTGTGAATTTTGACCCAAAAAATCTTCGCATAAGCATCGTTCAAGAATTGTTGAATGACGGTGATCCAGACGTTCTTAAAAGGGTATAACTGGTGACGAATCATGGGTATATGATTAACACATCAAAACCAAAGTCCAATTGTCCCAATGGAAAAGCCCAGGAGTGTAAGCACGCCAAGTTCGGTCAAATGTCTAAGTTTTGCTAACTGTGTTCAACGATTACCGTGGCGTAGTGCATCAATCAGGAGTTCTTGTCACATGGTCGTACTGTTAATAAAGAGTATTATCTTGAAGTTGTATGTCCCTTGCGAGAAGCAATACAAAGAAAACTTTCGGTATTGTGGAAAAACAATTCATCAAGATAATGCACCCGCTAACTCGTCATTGCTTGTTCGTAAAGCCTTGCAGCTTGAACCACCGGTTCGCAAAGCGGTCGATTGAGATTTTGGAGCAAAAAAACACGTCAACCCAACCGGCTATCGTCTCACAAAAAAACTAATAATGAATATAAAATATAAACTATTAATTGATAAAAGTAAATGAAAATAACTAATAAAGTACAAGGAATACAAAAGAATTCCTGCTGTATATTGGATCGGCCTCAGCAAAAAGAAGAAAAAATTAGGCTTATCCAATTTCCAGCAAAAAAATCTTTTTTATTCTTTGTATTTTATGGTTTACTTTTTTATTTTCATCAACATATTGCTGAAATAAAATTTCGGTCTGTTAGTGCATAATAATAAAACTTCATCGTCAACAATTGTCTCAAATGGTCTAAAAAAAGATTTGTACATTGGTTGTAATTGATAGGATGGTTGAATAAATCAACTTAACATTATTTTGAGCAAAATTCATGCTCCACTCAGTATATATCCGTGTAATCGTTTATTTTTTGAAAGTAACTTTCTGGCGAAATCAGAATATGGAAAGTAATACTTGATATTTCGTTTTAAAACTTCAGTAAGTCACACTTCTACTTGGTACTTGGTTAATGGCTATTCCTTTAATTGTGAATAGTTACTTGTTTAGGTGAAAGTTGAAAAAAATCAATTTTTTCGTTAACCAACTGTCGCCCTCCTATGAACGAAAACTTTCAAACTTGTGTGAGCTAAGGACTAACGAGGTCTTACCTTTTAACGAGTGATTCCTAAGATGTGTTGAATGATAGGAAGTGAAAATCGATCGTCCGGCCTTGCGGTTCGAACCACCGGTTCACACAGCGGTCGAGCGAACTCTCGTGAAAGAGGCATTCTTATTGTTTTTACAAAAAATTTTATGGTTTACGATTTTGAATATAATGTGCATTTGGCTCAGAGTATCGCATATGTGACTAGCGGGAATGAACATGGAAAACGGATTTATTGTGTTTGAAATTTGTTCAAAATCTTTTTTCCTGTAAACCAGCTGTCGCCCCGCTACGAACATCTCTCAAAAGTCGAAACTTGTGCGAGCTAAGGACTAACGAGGTCTTACCTTTTGACGTGTGATTCCCAACACGCGTTGGAACGATAGGAGGTGAAAATCGATCGGTCAACCTTGCGGTTCAAACCACCGGTTCGCACAGCGGTCGATTGACTGTGTGGAGCTCACCACCCATGTCAATTTTATTTGAAACGCGTTTCGCTACACGGTAGCTTCATCAGTAACTGGTGTAATAGTTACTGGTGTAACTGATGAAGCTACCTTATAGCAAAATTCGTTTTAAATAAAATGTATTATGAACATTCTGTATTTATTGTCATAGATAGTGTTATTTAATTTTCACCGAGTAACGGGTCAGAATATTCATAATTCAATTGTTAATTGTAATGACAATAGGTAGTAACTGAATATTGAAAGGTGTATGTAACGAAAGTTGGTCAGCTTCATTTTATTGAAACCTACCACCAGAGTAAGGAGTGATGTTGATAGTTACCTAAACTAGGAACTCTAATCTAATTGTCGACTTTCTTCTCCAAAATGCAAATATGACTTGAATTTGTTGTGAATATAAACAACACTAGGAAGTTACTGACAGCCATGAAATCAATTTTCTGGAGTGAATGAATAATTTTGATATTGTAATTAAAATGATTTTTTCAAACGTTGGAGCCTAATTCTAGGCATACCTACCTCTGTTTTTTTCAAATGAGAATTCATTCTCTAAAAAACAATAAAAAATTATTTGAGGTGAAGAATGATTTTTTGGGTTAAGTAGATGTATTTGTTTTATTCGAGTTGGAAGAGGAAAGTTATCAAAAAAAAGTTTGCTATAAAAGTTTTAATATCAATGCATTGAGTGTTTTTAATTATTCACCATTGTACAGCTGAGGTAGGAGTATCTGCTATTGTAAAATGTAGGATTGTATAGGTATATTCCGTGTGATGTATGAGTTTCACTCAACCGTTCTATTTTCAATAAAAACTAAGTTGGAGAGATTTTGTTTAGGGGATATTTTTAAAACGTGGTATTTTCATTCCACAAATGATAATGTGTCCAAAAACTTTTTTGAATACTGAGTGAATCAGAAGATGAAAACATTTTTTTAAATTTTTTTAAATGAAACATTTTATATTTTATTACACATTCGACTTTCCTTTCTTGAAATATTTCCAACATAATTTCAATGAGAGAGTTCTCTTTTTCAGAAGAAAATTTTAAACTGAAATTTTGGAATAATGTTTTCAAGAAAACGTTTTTGGGATCAACTGAAATGTGTTAAACGATTGAAACGATTGAATTTGAACAAATAAAACGACGTATAAAAATAATGAATTGAATAATTGATTCAATAAAAAGAGAGTTGGCATTTCATATCTGCCCCTGTACTACATTCCTCCTCAGATGCGATTTTTTTCCATTCAAAAACAAGAAATAAAGCCAAAAACGAAAACATTCCACTATAAACTATTTTTTGTCTTGATGAACTGGCCTATTTCTGAGGACATATTCTATTGCAACACTTTCATTTGTTTATAAATCGTTATCAAGAGTTCATTAAAACAACAGTTGGTGAAACGTCCACATTATTTCCATCGAAGATTACTCCGCCATTACTGAATAATGTAATGACGTGGTTTCTTGACGACACCACAAAGACTTGTCCGGCAATTATCTCATTTCGGAGAGCCTTCTTTTGAAAAGACTCAAGGAAATCCCTCTGAGGGGCCGACCAAAAATCCCGCTCGCCAGTATGTATCTCTGAATGGCCTGCGATATATAGTCAACATTCTCTGAGTTCTGCATCAGTCGGCTTTGGTTCGAGCAAGAGTGTTGGCAGTTTCATTTTGGAACGATATCGCACGTGATTTGAGTGAAAGCGTTTCGAAATTGACAATATTATGGCTACCACGAACGGAGATCACTGCGCCAATAACATCAAAACAAAGAAATCACTGCCGGTGCTGTCGAGAACTTGGTCTGAGAATTACGATATCACTGACGTTGAAGTGCCCGGAACTCCCAAAACACCTAGGACTTCCACGACACCAGGTAATTTATACAATGATAAAGATTGGAACGAATTGTTCTTTTAGATACTTTGGTTAGAAATTAAACTCATAAGTGATCATTGAAAATTATTATATTGAATCGTTGTTACACGTAATTCGTAGAGATTTTGCATCAGGTTTATTACAGAGCGTCCCCGTTTAATCAACAACGAAATGTCAAAATTCTTCAAAATAAATTGACATAAGTAATCATTTTATGGAAAGGTTTAAAAATGGTGCAGCCGCTGATTTTCATAAAATTTTAGTGGGAACTGATATTAAAAAAGTGATATATTCTTCAATAAATCTTATTCTAGGAATCAGAAGCAGACTACAATAAGAGTAATGAATTTAGCCAATTTCTTACGTTTATTATTCAAGGCAACAAAAAATATCCAATTTTCAGAGTTTGATACATTCACCAGTTTCATGAATTGGAATAATGAATTGGCAATTCATTTGAAAAATAAATGAATTGAGGCCACAAGCTAGCTTGTGATTTGTCGTTTTCCTCAATTCACAACTCATTTTACATATTTCTCGGAAAAAACATTATTCGGTTACGCCAGTATGGTAACTTTTATTGTTTCAAACTCATTTTTTTGAGAGAAAAAATAATGTATAAATGATTTTTTTTTGTTTATCTTTGGTTTGATGCATAGTAAGTTCACAAACTCTTTTGTTTAAGATGAAATATTGAAAAAGAATATGAGCATTTGGTTCTTCATCAGTTATGTATTGCATAAAATTTAATTTTGATATAAAAAAAAATCCGGCAACTGACAATTCGCAACTCATTTTTTCAAAATAAATTGAAGGCAATGAGTTACACTCACTGAAAATACATAAATCCATTCCAAATGAGTTGAAACTACAAATCTGTTCAATTCTGCTAATTCCTGACTTCTGCTAAGTGAAATAAATATTTGGGCGCATTTCATTGTAGGAAAGTATAGGTATTAAAAGTTGTATTTCAGACGATCGTTGTCTGCTATTTTATTTTAATATTTGGTTTTTTGTAAAAGTAAAACTATCAATAAACTAGTCATTCATCAATACAAGCCGGAAAACACAAATAAAATGAGCAATTTTTACATGTATTTACTACTTGTTTAGAAAATTTTTTAGAAAATTTGTACTTTTCATGAAATTAGCTTTGTGAAACGGTGGTAACACAAACCCAAATAGCATTGTTGTCAAGTATCAAGTTAGGGATCCGCGTATTCTCGAATATTCTTTTTATAGATATCATCTTTCAGAATATTAATTTTTCAATTGACGTTATATACATTTGAAACAATATTTCATATAAAAAAAGGTTGATGCTTGTAAGTAGGTGTTTGTAACTGCCATTTATTTTTTTACTCTGGCAACACAGCAACACTGAAATTGTTTTTTTTTCAACCTCCAATACCATACAGATGAAGAGTTGATGCTACATTAAAACCATACTATGCATTAATATAAAAACATAAAATTTCCATATTGAATTATTATCTCGAATAATAACATAAGTACAAAGAAGAAATAGGCTGATGTGATCTGCGTCTGAATGTTTTTTTAATTTTAGTGTTCTGAAGCTTTCCTGAAATTTTCATCAAATTGACTACTGGATAATATTTTACACCCTTAACTAGGTTTTTTCATACAAAATTGTCATTATTTAATGAAGATAACTGAATTAACTTTTTCCATACTTCAGAGATTAAAAAATATTTCTGCGGTATAATAATAATAAAGGATGTTGAAAACTTCATCACTTCTTTCCTTGAATATAATAAATATCACGGTCTCCATTATTCTAAAGCGTAGATATAAGTATATTTCCTACCTATGTGATTTTTAAATGAATTTTTTTAACAAAAACTACATCACCAGTCGTTTGTTTTGTTGAAGTACTCAATTTTGCATTTTTGTTCAAACAAATGTTTTAATCGGTGAAATCGGTAAAAGACGGAAAAATTGTTAAGTATATTGGGTATGATTTTGCAATATTTCTACATTCGTTGCCTTATATAAAGATGTTGTTTGGAAGATATTATTGAAATATTGAATGTGTTTTCTGTGGGTTTTTGCCAATTGTTTGTTGAATAAATGACACCACATATTTGTAAATTGCTTTTCAAAAGATATGAAGATTCTCCAAAAAGCACAGTTCCGAGAACATCAGAAGGAATTAATATAATAGTTGAAGAAAAATATGTGACTTTATGACATGTACCCAAATAAGATAGACTGATCATGATTATGTCAATTAGAATTCTAGCCTACTTGTTGGTGATAAAAAGTCTGAACTTTGTGAATTTGCGAAATATTCGTACTCGATATTATCAGATATCCAAATCCAATTTTAGCTTGTTGTTTTAAAAGAAATCGCATCCTACTTTACAATACCAGCTGAACAAAGCCAACGTAATTTATGGATGAACGTTCTGAATGTTAATTATGGTACTTCATCACGTCTGTAGATATTAGGAAATAGAAAGAAACTTGAGACTATCGTGTTTAGTAATTTTTTTTATAATTACCAAGGAATCTATGCGAATTGTTTTACAATCGTTGTTAGCTTTTTTCTTTACTTTTGATAAACATATTTGTGAAATTATAAAACAACGATAAAAATAAAAACAACAATAAAAATTAATATAATATAAACAGTACTAAAGTGCCTTCTCAATTTTTTGGAGTGGAAAAAAATTCAGAACTCATTCAAAATTATTCGTGATAAAAATCACAATTTTGTTTCCCTTTTCAAAATTATTTTTTTGAATTATGAGAAACATAAGTCACTTTTCTATGGCAATGAAACATAATGTAACATAATTGTAAATCTTCAACGCCCTTGAATAACTAAGACAACTTTATTCATTAGTTTTCATTATCTTATTTAAATTTCAAATTAGTCTGGTCCAGATGGGGTCCCAAAAGAATGTTTCTCACGGCCAGTGTCATATTTATTTGTTCATCAACAATACAAGTATATGTAAAGAAGTCTCATATTGAAAAATGAGAAATAAAATTTATCACTTGTAGTTGTAACTCACGTTATTGCAGTTTCGTCCTCTAAGGTCATTTCAAATGAATGAAATAAACTCTTCGTTTGAAAGTGTCCTTCAAGGACGAAACTACAGTAACGTTAGTTACAAATACAACTGGTATAAAAACATATGAAGTTGTATTTCTCATTTTTCATGATGATCTCCTACCACGTTGTAACTAACGGCTACATCCATCAATTTATTGAGTTTCATATTCATAATTTTCTATCAATATCAGTTATGTGATAGTTTTATTAATCTAAGTTTAGTAAATATGTTTTGAAAAATCTGTTTTTCCGTTAACCCCTATGAACGATAACCCTCAGAAGTCGATACTTGTGGCGAGCTAAGGATTAACGAGGTCTTACCTTTTAACGGGTGATTCCTAACACAGGTTTGACGATAGCAAGTGAAAATCGATCGTTCAGACTAGGGATTGAACCACCGACCAACACGGTGAGTGACGGCAGCACCCCACGTCGAACCGCCTGGCTACCGACCAACCGGTAGCATGAGGTAGAAAACTTATTGAATAACGAAAATTTAAAATATTCATAAGGAAGAGAATATTTATCATAAACGATTTTTAAGACTTGATAGTTCAATGTAAATGATGAAGTAATGAAGAACTGAAACAATTGGGTGGTTGTAATTGTATCTTCAAGATGGACTGGACAGTGGAACCGCTAAATAATCAGTTGAGTTGAGGAAACACTGATGATTGAATACGTGTCGTTCTTACAGTGAAAGGACATCGGTTCTGGACGTATGCTAAGCATCTGCACGAATTTTCTCAGTGACGAAACTTGCCTAAATATGTACATCATGATATTAGCCGGGAAGGCTGTTGTTTTCCGGCATGCATTTAGCAGCTCCTACAGTGTAAGAACGCTAAACGAGGTGAATGTTTTGAAATTTCATTTCGAAATATTCAATTTTTAATACGTATGATTTTCTCCCCGACAGTCATCAGACTGATTTCTTTGAGACTAGACTATTATTCCGAACTTTTATGTTTTGAAGCATCATATTATTTGGAAGCTAGTTTGGTTTCATGTTTATTATTAAGTAATTCAAATATGTTCTTCTGCGTTGTATCAAAATGAATCAAGGTATATTTTGTTACAGTAAATTTCCCTGAACAATATTTACAATCGTATCTTGTGATTAGTTATAAATGGAAAATATCGAAACTTACATCACACACTTTGAAATAATTCAAACATTATTGAATAAATAACACCAATCAATAAAGGTTGAACGTAAGAAATGACGTACAGTATATGATAATACTAACAAGGCAAGAGAATAACATGGAATTCAAAAGTATAGAAGTGACAATTATTGTAGTGCAAATAAGAGAACGGAATATCGATACACATCAAATATAATCCAAAATATTTGCCTGCAGAATAGAAATACATTTCTTACTTTTCTTACAAAGCTTAATCAATAGAGAATCTGCTGTAGAGACAATCAATGGAAGGTCATGTACCCAGAAAAAAAATTGTAACAAATAATGAGACCTCCACAAAAAAATCTTTCAAAGAATAAAGATACCTTGTATTAGAAAAGTGTTTTAAATTTACAAACAACAATTAATTTGTTTGCTATCAATATTATAAATTTATAAATTGTTCACAGGACATGAGAAGTGCACATTCCACCACGATTTAGAGTTAGATCACAGACCACCAACTAGAGAAGACATGCTTCCCGAAATGTCAAGATCGTACAAACTGCTACTAGCTTCACTTGGAGAGAATCCAGAAAGACAAGGCCTGCTTAAAACTCCCGAACGAGCGGCCAAAGCCATGCTTTTCTTCACCAAGGGATATGACCAAAGTCTTGAAGGTAAGTTATATATGAGAAAAAACGTTATCATCTTCAATCTGAAAACATTTGATCTAGAATATTCTTCGTTCCTCTTCTTCAGAAGAGGAACCCTCCATCCCTTTCATTTGAAAATCAGCTGGCTTCTGATGGAAAGCTTGCAAAACCATTCCCCCACTGGCTTTATTACTGTTATTGCTGAATTTGGGTTCAATTTCTGCACAATTTTGAATATGGTGGTTATTTTCTTATCTCATCTGATTATTCACCAGTTGGTGAATAAACTATCTTATTCAGCTTGGCCTTCATATCTTCTTCATGTACGAGAATGTTTGCAAAAATTATTACACTAGTATTGAAGCAAACATAATTTGAAAGTCAATATACTTTCATTGAAAGTTACTTAAGTAACTTAAAGAAAACGTCAAGGATCAGAGTATTTTATTATTCAGCATGCCCCCTCTCAATAAGATACATTTATAACATTAAACTTACATTTGAAAAAGATCTTAATTTGCTCTGCAAACCAGATCTCTACAACTTCTATCATATCTTCGTTGAAAGAAAATTTACGATCTCAGACTTTTTTCAGTTGAGGAAAGTCATAGTCGGTCGAAGTGGGATCTGGTGAATAAGGAGGTTTTTCGATTATTTCTGACGCGATATATAATTTTTTCTTGTAGAGTGGTCACTAACGTCGAATAGTAATTCCCAGTTCTGTTAGAAACTTGGTATTTCACTGAGTTTCGTCTAGATATGGAATATTAATAAGCCTGTAAATACGTGGTAAACTTATTGGTAAATGATGGAAGCTGTACCTCTTTTGTAGCTTGCAATCCAAATTTTCATGGTTGTATACGAAGGACATTAATCGCGAAGAGTTTTTAAGCATATCTTCATAAATCTGCTAACTTTTTAACCCCTTCAAATTCAGGTACTTGATGATGACTCAATATTCCATTTTCATAATTTCGGTTGCCGACATTTCTGATAAGATACATATGATTTTTTTCTGTACGTGGAACTGATCTAGACTAATTAGGCATCAGTTTATCCCCGTATTTTAAAAAGCTGAGATATATTCCCTGAGAATAGAAATATTTTATTATTATCATTCGACATATCATTCGACGGTTTTTTCTTGCACATGACCTAGATGATTTTATTGGAGTGTGAAGATGATGAGTTAGCAATCCAGCATTTTATTCTTTGCAATGCAGAGGGCAGCACTGTTGCCGCTTGTTTCCATTTAAATTTACGAACATTCTCTGCCTTTGCAGAGTGCAAGGTGGTAGTAACCAAGTACAAAATTTAGGCATCAGATTCTCTAAGAAGGTGAATGTGAAGGTTCACTAAGATACCAGGATTCCAAGGTATGTCTTGGCACAATCACATTGTTGAAATAGCAAAGACAGTTCTCGAACACTTTTTAAGATCTCCTATATGTCGAGAGAGTTATCAACAACTATTCAAAACAAACGTAAATCACGACTTTCATACAGGCACTGCTCTCGGCGCATCTGAAGGATTTCTCTACAGTACATCATCCAGATTTCGTTCTTTCATAATTATTGTAAACTTCCAAAATTAACGGAACGTTTAGAAATCTTCAAGACCAAATAAGGGACTATAACACAAGACATACAAGTTGGAAACAGAATTTCTAGAAATTGCAAATTGTTTTTATGTAGTTTTTTGGGTTCACACAGTAACTTATCGCGGTAAATTAGAAAAAATTGCCGTTTCTAGATCACAATTTTTTAATTTTTCAGATTGTGGAAGATAAAAATTCATAGGAAAGATTAAAAAACTTTAATTTTCTCTACAATTTTTCTGTTGATTCTACTTGTTACTCATTGTGCTAGTATTTGGAAAGCAGATTTTAGGAATATATATGTTAGCTACGATCCCTGTCTGGGATTTTCGTGGTTCTGATAAGTTTGAGAAAAGTTCTAACCATTACAGTTGTCAAGCAATAGCTCATTATTTTCTTCTTGAAATATTGGTCATTTTCTGGTCAGTTCTTTGGTGTTTCATCGTCATGCATTTTGACGTTTACCTATCTATACATATATTTTGACCACTCTATAGAGTAATTTCTGTTGGTGGCAGAAAACAAATCTATCCACCTGGGTAAAAGTCACGTTTTGTTCCATAGAAAATTAGTCGTTCTCAACATTGTTATATCGGAATTGATCATAATCCATTATGCCACGAATTAAAAATCAATTAGTAACAACTTGATGGCCGTAATTATCAATGCGGTTGTAATGTTTCCATATTGCCAACGCTGGTTGTCATTGCTATTTCCCTCGGTGAAAGGATTCGAAACAATGTCAGATAAAGGAAGACAATGACGACCCCGAGAATGATTGTCTTATAACGATGGAGTAGATTTAGTTTCAAGTAGTTGCCATGGCCACGACACGCGCGGACCGTTTTGAATAGGAACAGAAATTGATGTAATTCAGGGATGAATCAAATTTGTCGAACCGAATCATGGGGATCTCGGAGGCTATTATGACGGATGTCCCACATTCAATTTACAGGATATGTCTCATTCTCATTTGTTGATTAAGATTTGTGATTTTTTTTCAAAGAGGCAATAAGCCATTTTTTACAAGATCTCATAATGTTATCGATATATTTCCATTTTTTAACGAATACTTTGTTACTTAGCAATACCATGAGAACAGCATGATAAAACAACGGTCCGTAAGACGAGTTGTTTTATCTATTGCTAGTTACTCTATTGATGGTATTGCTCAAAAATAATAGATTTTCAGTTTAAAAAAAAAGGGCACTAGGGTATCTAAGAAAAATTTCAAGTCGAGTGGTATTTGTAAATATTATTTCCTGAAATAATTTCAGCTAAATGTATCACTATAAATTCCATCAATCAATCAATTTCATTAATTGAATAACGAGAAATATCAACAAGAGAATTTGTTCGAAAGAGCATATTCTATTAGTAGTATTTTTTCAAAAACAGGACTTCATTGTTTAAATCTGTCGTGCCTTGACATTCCAGATGCAGTACGGCCCGTATTCTTTTCTATTTTAATGAAATTGCTACTTTGAGAATAATGTTAATCTCTTATTATACCTACCAATAAATTTCGATTAAGGTATTGAGATTTCGGAATATCATATATAAATTGTTGATATTCACGGTGGAGTTTGGAATGAAGGATTGTTTTCGTATTTTCGAGAGGTTATGTTAATAAACATATCAAACTAAACTTGTGAATTTCTGTAGGAGCATTCATGCAAAGTTGAGATATTTTTTCACAATTATATTTGAATATTTGATTCCATTTTTTGTTTTCACTTTGATTAGGACAGCGACAATGATTAAAATTGTGATGATGATGGTGCATAACTATGCCCTGATAGTCACGTATTATTCAAGAATAATGGCATCCAGGTATCTTATCCTAATTTCACTTTATATGGAATCCCATATACCATCAATACACATCAGCAATTGATAGAGTCCAAAAGAAGTTTTTAAAATTTCTTACTTTCAGAATGACCGGAACGTATTCTCCAAGAAACTGTGATTACCCTGATCTGCTATGCAGATTTGACTTTGTAGCCTTAGAAAAAAGAAAAAATCAGGCATCTGTTTTATTTCTATATAAGCTATTGAATGGCAAATTGGATTGTCCTATACTATTATCAGAAATTGATATCTTTGTTCCAAGAATATCTTCTAGGCACATCAATACTTTTTTATGCAAAAGAGCACAAACTAACTTAATGTTGAAATCACCAATCAATCTGATGTGTCGTAATACGAACAAGCTTCCTACTAACATCAATATTTTTTGTTGCAGTATTTGTGAAATCCAAAATAAGTCTCTTGCGTACCTATAAGTCATTTATGTTTTTTATATTAAATAGTATTATCCTTCAAGTATGTTATTTTTGCACTGTAAATGGGAAACTGTTGGGCAATAAACGCTATTATTATTATTATTATATCGCATCTTATCGAACAAATATGTAGAAGTAATATGTGAACTTACCAATATATGAAAACAATGAAAACGGCTTTTCATTCGTTTCCAACCCTATTTATTTTCGCGAAATGAATGAATCTAGCCCAACAGAGAATCTGTACAAGTTTCATGAAAAGCAAACTGAAAAGTTTTTCCGGGAAAAATACTTCGGAACATAGACCTCAAAAGAGTTCAGTCAGTAACTTATATTTATAAATTTTCCCTATGAATGATGAAATAATAGAAAAAAATATACTCAAATTTCTTCACATAGGCTGACTTTTCAAAAAGCATTCTCTTTCCCGTTTTCAAAACCTAGAATTGTACAACATGTCTCGATTGAAGGGAATGTAGATTTCTTGCGATAGTTGTTTTCATTTCGAAATTTAGGAAAAATGTTTTCAAAATAATAAACCACAAATTCATAGTACACCTTCAGGGGGTAATTTTACACCTCATGAAAATGATTTGCATGCTGCTGAAATATCTATCAAACGCATTATCTGCTTTCAGCGACGAGTGATGCAACACTATTCTCTTGAATTGAAGGGGTTATATATTTAGCAGTGATTAATTTTTGGGAATACAAAGTGAGTAAAGAAAAGTATCTTCTGTATAATTCAGTGTTCATGTAAAAGTTGTTGTTTCGAAATAATTTTTTTTCTTTCGTGTAATTCAATGTTCATATGAAAGTAGCTGTTTCAGGGGGGCTTTCTTCCAGTTTGTGTCTGAAAGTTGCTTCTTTGCATGATCTACACATCCATGTATAGAGTTATTTATTTTCAAATTGATTACTTCCTTCCTTTCTTTGGAAGATTCCCACATTTTTTCGTATCAAGATGGAGTAGTAGAAAGCTAGAAAATTTCTTTCCCACTATTCTCTTTTCTACCAAAAAGTATTAAAAATATGGAATATCGTTTTCTGGCTCTACCGTCTCCATTTCAAATGGTATAAAAAGGCGAAGGAACTTTCAAGACTGTTTCATATTTGTTATTATTTGAAATAAATCAATTTGC